AAACCATGAGCAATGCCCAGCATCTCTGAAATCTGCACAGCACAGAAACAGCAGAAAGGAGAAGGCTCAGAGTTTTGCAATTCCAGATCTCCTTCCCCCCCCCCCCCCCGAATTAAAGAGTCATGTTTATTGCAATCTCAGACTATGAGGGGCCATTCCCCAAATCTCATAGTGATAAGATGGTGGCAAAACCAGACTTATATAGGCAAAGATCACAAAGGTATTGATTACATCTCAAGGTTTGGAATGAGGAACCTGGTTTGCAAAAAAGCAGTTTACAGAAGCAGCATGTTAATTACAGTTTTGGGTCTCATTGAATTAACAGAAACACATTGTCTAGAGCCCTCGGGTCTGGAATGAGGAACCTGGGTTAAACTTAGGCATGTTATCTAAATTACAGTTTTGGGTCTCTGGAACACTGAGTCAACAAGGATACGTTAACTGGAGCCCTCTGACCTTGGGATAACTGTGCTGTCCTTCCCAGGTAAAGGAAAATGTGCTTTCTAAGACCAGTATGACAACCCATGGGACATTCACATAATCAATAGGCCAGATCTCCCTTTTAATCTTTGTTTTAAACTGTCCTATAACATATCTATACATTTTAAAATATATATATATATTTTATTGATTTCAGAGAGGAAGGGAGAGGGATAGAGAGATAGAAATATCAATGATGAGAGAGAATCATCGATCAGCATAATTGATCAGCTGCCTTCTGCAAGTCCTCTACAGGGGTTTGAGCCCACAACCAGGACATGTGCTCTGACCTGGAATCAAACCATGGCCTCCTGATTCAACTACTGAGCCACACCAGCCAAGGCCATATCTATAAGTTTTTAAGAGTAGAGGAGTAGATTATATAAAACTAGAGGCCTGGTGCACAAAATTCATGCATGGGTGGGGTCCTTAAGCATGGCTGGCAATCAGGGCCATTTGAGGCCTTCCTGCCAGATGGGGGGAGGGACTGCAGGAGGTTGTCTGGCTACTGAAGGTTGGCTGTGGGAGCACACTGACCACCCGGGGGCAGCTCTGCACTGAGCATCTGCCCCCTGGTGGTCAGTGTGCATCATAGTGACTGGTCATTCCAGCATTCTGGTCGCTTAGGCTTTTATATATAGACTAGAGGCCCGGTGCACAAAAATTTGTGCACTCGGGGAGGGGGGTCCCTCAGCCCGGCCTGTGCCCTCTCACAGTCTGGGACCCCTCGGGGGATGACCATCTGCTGGTTGAGGCCTGCTCCCCAGGGGATGGGCCTAAGATGGCAATCAGACATTCCTCTGGCAGCCTGGCAGCCCTCAGGGGATGTCCACTTGCCAGTGGGGAGCAGACCTAAGCTGCAGTCGGACATCCTTAGCACTGCTGAGGAGGCAGGAGAGGCTCCCACCACCACCTCTGTACTGGCAGCCATCAGCCTGGCCTGTGGCTGAGCAGAGCTCCTTCATGTGAGAGGGCACTGACCACCAGGGGGCAGCTCCTGCATTGAGCGTCTGCCCCCTGGTGGTCAGTGTGTGTCATAGTGACGAGTCATTCCCAGTTGTTCTGCTGTTAGGGTCAGTTTGCATATTACCCTTTTACTGTATAGGATAGAGGCCTGGTGCACTGATGGGGGCCAGCTGGTTTGCCCTAAAGTGTGTCCTGGATCAGGGTGTGGGGCCCACTTGGGTGCCTGGCCAGCCTGGGTGAGGGGCTGATGGCTGTTTTCAGGCTGCCCGCACCCCCTTCAGGGTGGGGGTCCCCACTGGGGTGCCTGGCCAGCATGGATGAGGGGCTAAGGGCTGTTTTCAGACTGCTCGCACCCCCTTCAGGGTGGGGGTCCCCACTGGGGTGCCTGGCCAGCCTGGATGAGGGGCTGAGGGCTGTTTTCAGGTTGCCCGCACCCTCTTCAGGGTGGGGGTCCCCACTGGGGTGCCTGGCCAGCCTGGATGAGGGGCTGAGGGTTGTTTTCAGGCTGCCCACACCCCCTTCAGGGTGGGCGTCCCACTGGAGTGGCTGGCCAGCCTGGATGAGGGGCTGAGGGCTGTTTTCAGGCTGCCCGCACCCCTTCAGGGTGGCGGTTTCCACTGGGGTGCCTGGCCAGCCTGGATGTGGGGCTGAGGGCTGTTTTCAGGCAGACCAAGCCTGCAACTGAAGCTCCCAGTCTCTCCTTTTTTTCTTTTTATTCTGGGATTTATTTACCTTCTGTAATTGAAACTTTGTTGCAGCTCCAGCTCCGATGCCAGGCTGTCTGAAAGCAGGTCTCTGGGGTTTGTTTCGCTTCTATAATTGAAACATAGTTCCATTTCGGAGCTGTTGCTTTCAGGCTCAGAGCCGGGCGCAGCAGGCGGGGAACCTTGGCTTCCTCCATTGCCGGGGCAACCAAGCCTCATATTCACTTCAGCTGCGTGGCTGCCAGCCGCCATCTTGGTTGGCAGTTAATTTGCATAGCACCCTGATTAGCCAATGGGAAGTGTAGTGGAGGTATGGTTAATTACCATGTTTGTCTATTATTAGGTAGGATTATATTTAGCTCAGCCTAATTGTGAATAATACTTTTTTTATTATGCTGTAGATTTGTTCACTCAATGCATTTTATCATGGGTTGTTTTCAAAATCTTGTATTTGTTTTTAATTTTTATTTAAAATTAAAGTCTGGCAGTGATTGGAAGTCTTTTTTTTATTTTTTATTTTTTTATGCAAACACACTTCTTTGAACTCAGCTAATTTGCTCCCTTAGTGATTCTCTCAATGCAGTTACTCAGGTGCAAATAAACAAATTAAGACCTGGGTCTTGGCTTAGATTTTAAGCAAAGACTGGGAAGAAGCAGGAACAAAGATGTGAAACTTTAGCCCAGGGACATGCAAGCCATAAGAATAGGAAGAAAATCAGCGGTGTTCTATTTGACGGGGGAGAAAAACCCTGAAAAAAAATTTTTTTCCTAGTTTTCTCTACACCAGTGGTTCCCAACCTTGGCTGCACATTAGAATCACCTGGGAATATTTTTAAAATCCTGATTTCTGGGCCTCATCCTCCGGAAATTCTGTTTCTTTGTTACTAATGTTGTGGCCCCACCCCATAACAAAGAAACAGAATTTCCGGAAGGTGAGGCCCAGAAATTAGGATTTTTAAAAAGACTCCCAGCTGATTCTAATGTGCAGCCAAGGTTGAGAACCACTGCTCTACACATTTACTCTATTTTACCCACAGATGATCCTGCTAACCATTAAAATTGGCATGGCTCAGTGGTTATAGAGTCGGCCTGTATACCGAAGGGTCCTGGGCTCGATTATGGTCAGGGAGGTCAAGGGCATGCACCTGGGTTGCGGCCTGCAGAAGCTTTTCACATGGATATTTCTCCCTCTCCCTCTCTCCCTCCCTCTCTCCCTCCCTCTCTCCTTCTCTCCTTCTCTCCTTCTCTCTCCCTCTCTCCCTTCTTCTCCCTCTCCCTCTCCCTTTCTCCTTCCCTCTCCCTCTCTCCCTCCCTCCCCCTCTCTCCCTCTCTCCTTCCCTCTCCATCTCTCCCTCCCTCTCCCTCTTCTTCTCTCCCTCTCCCTCTCCCTCTCTCTCTCCCTCTCCCTCTCCCTCTCTCCCTCCCTTTCCCTCTTCTTCTCTCCCTCTCCCTCTCTCCTCCTCTCTCTCTCCCTCTCTCCTTCCCTCTCTCCTTCTCTACCTCCCTCTCCCTCTCTCCCTCCCTCTTCCTCTCTCCCTCCCTCTCCCTCTTCTTCTCTCCCTCTCTCCCTCCCTCTCCCTCTTCTTCTCTCCCTCTCCCTCTTTCCCTCCCTCTCCCTCTCTCCTCATCTCTCCCTCTCTCCTTCCCTCTCCCTCTCTCCCCCTCTCTCCTTCTCTCCTTCCCTCTCCCTCTCTCCTCCTCTCTCTCCTTCCCTCTCCCTCTCTCCCTCCGTCTCCCTCTCTCCCTCTCTCTCCCTCTTCTTCTCTCCCTCTCCCTCTCTCCCTCCCTCTCCCTCTCTCCTCATCTCTCTCCCTCTCTCCCCCTCTCTCTCCCTCTCTCCTTCTCTCCTTCCCTCTCCCTCTCTCCTCCTCTCTCTCCTTCTCTCCTTCCCTCTCCCTCTCTCCCTCCCTCTCCCTCTTTCCCTACCTCTCCCTCCCTCCCTCTCTCTATCTCTCTCCATCTCTCCCTCCCTCTCCCTCTCTCCTTCTCTCTCCCTCTCCCTCTTTCCCTCCCTCTCCCTCTCTCCTCTCTCCCTCCCTTCCCTCCTCCTTTCCACTCTCTGAAAAATCAACAGAGGAAATATCCTCGGGTAAGGATTTAAGAAAAAAAGCCCCAGCCTTACTAAGTCAGGTGATTTCCCAAGACAAGTTTTCTGTCTCCGAGATACTGGAGGTGCAGAGTGGTGAGGACCCTTCAGGCTCAAGACTAAGAAGATGAGTTTGGATTCTGACAGCCTGGCTCCCTGCGCAAAGGCTCCCCAGTGGTGTGACCTTGAGCAAATTACTGAACCACTACAAGCCTCAAATTCCTCACCAGAACAGCGGGGGTGGGTTGGCAGAACCTGTGTTTGGGCTTATTTTGATGCTGAAATGAGAGAGAGTCGGCAAAAATACTTGGCACATAAATATTGGCAACTTTTTAGCTCTTTTTAAAAAAAAAGTTAAAGGAGGAGGGCCTGTTGAACAGAAAAGGCTCTCCTCCCCCTTATAAAATCCACATAAACCTTTTTAGAATTTGAACGTGAGCAAAAGAGGCGGAGGGAGGGACGGACCCCTTTCTACCAGTTCGGGCTCTCCTGCTGCCCTCCGCTACCGACAATCGTTTCCTCACTAATCTGGCGGGCGCAGCGTGCACCCTCCGCACCCACGTGAGCGCGATGGGTGGGGGGCGGAGGGGGGAGTAGCCTCCGGCCGCAACACTCAGCGCCCCCGCGGGAGGGAGCGCGCAGCGGGACCCGGGGGAGCGGCCCCGGCGGGAGCGACCGACTTGGCTGTTCCGGGTCCCGCGTGACCCAGGGGGCGGGTCGCTCGCGGGCTCCGCCTCCAGCCCTCCCGGCTCCTCCTCCTCCTCCTCCTCCTTCAGCGCTTCCCCAGGCTCCGCTCCGGCCGTGACAGCTGCGATCAGGCTGTGGCCGTCCCAGCCCGAGCCATGCACACTGCGCGCCCGGGTGCGCGCCCGGCGCCGGCGCTGGCGCTGCTGCTACTTTGGGCCGGGACCGGGGTGCCTGCCGCCGCCGCGCCCCCAGCCCCGCCGCTCTTCAACGTGAGCCTGGACGCGGCGCCCGAGCTGCGCTGGCTGCCGGTGCTGCAGCACTTCGACCTGGACTTCGTGCGCAGCGCGATGGCGCACATCCTCGGGTGAGCGCGGCGCCCGACCGGGTCTGCGGGGACGGGCTGCCCGGCGCGGGCGCGGGAAAGCCCACAGGCGCGTGTTTGAGCCGAAACTCAGCCCCTTCCCTCCCTCTGCCACGGCCTGGTCGCCCACCCCTCCCCCGCACCCCGGCCCCTGGAATGCGAAGGGGTTGGCGGGGACCAGAACTGGTATTTGCTGCTGCTCTAGGCGGCGTCGAGCTCGGGGATGACCCGGCGCGGCTGGTTCGGCTTTCAGGTTCGGTGTCAGCAGCGGCACGCCCGTCCTCGAACATTCCAGGTCAGGGTGGTGCAGGAGATGTTGCCCCGGCCGCTCAGCTACTGAGCCGGGGGACGCAGCCCACGCCCGCCTGCGGACCCTCCCAGCCCGCCCCTTTGGGGACCGCGCTCGCGCGTCCTCCCTCCCGTGGAGGTTTCCTTTTTCTCTCCTGGAGGCTGCGGATCGGGTGATGCGTAACCCGAACTGTCAGCTCCCCGGGGAAGGGGGGCAACAGCATGGCTCCTAAGAATGAGAGCCGTAGGTCCCCCCAACTCCCCAGACACACACTCGCACCCCGGCAGCCTCTGAGCGCAAACACCCTCGTGGCTTTTCTTTTCCAGGGATAAGGTCCCCAAGTGGGTCCACGCAGTGATGCGAGTGGCGGTGGGGGAGCTGGAAGGCTCCCTGCCCCAGCCCTACGCCGATGAGATCCGCGGCATGTGCGACGCCCTGGGCTTCAGCCTGGCGGACTGCATCCTCATCAACTTGGCCTACGAGTCCACCGCGTGAGTGCCCGGCTGGCCAGCGACTCTGGCCACGCGAGTGGGAGCGGGCTTGTTTCCAGGGAGACAAAAGCGGGGTGGTGTCTGGGCCGCCCAGAAACCCGCAGCACTTCGTCTCTGCTTCTCTGGTTAAATCTGAGCAGCGGGTCATGCCTGGGCTTCCCGCAGGCAAGCGGCTTCTCTGACCTCCACCCTGAGCTCTCCCTCTACCTGAGGCCCCCTTTCTCCCACCACCAGTCTAGGTGGCACCCCACTTCGGAAACTCTGCGCAACGTGTACTTTCCAAGAAGTTTTTGGAACTCACCCCACTCTCACCTGGACCCTCTAGTTAACCTGGTGACCCTCGGGCCGCCCTAGCACTGACTTGTCCCTGCAGTCCTCCCCCCTCCCATGTCTGTCATAGCTGGTGATCCGGATTCCTCTTTCCCGGTCTGTTCCCTCCAGGGCTGGGCCACAGGCCAGCCAATATTTGGTGTGCTGAGCGGGGATGATAAAATGCCGGGCACAGACCTGGAAGCAATATGGAGTGCCTGGTGGATCCCAGGCAAAGGGCAGGGAAGCCTAAAATCTCCATGGGCTCAGTAACAGGTCCTGGAATTAAGAGGTTTCTGCCTTCAGGACTTAATTGTTTTGCTACCAGACCAGCCTCATCTAGTAACATCTTGCATTTACTTAAACACATTGCAGACCAGTAGTTTTATTGCTAGCCTTACCCAGTGGCCAGGTAAGTTTCTATTGAACGAGTACAAAAAACATTTTACATAAATGTTAAAGGCACGCTTTAAAATTAAATACCCATTGCATTTTGAAGTTATTTATTACATGTTCTTACAAGCTAATATCTTTTTAAAGTATGGTACTTTGTAAAACACTGTGTAATATGAAGCGAGAATTCTCGTGATTCGTCCGCAATGTGGTAACAGCTTCTGGCTACCAAAAGATTGGTGAAAAAAGTTATTGGGATAATGAAACTTTACTGCCGGGAGCTGGTCCATGCTTGCTGTTTCAAGGGACCTGGCATATATGGCATACTGTTCTTAATATGTTTGCTCACCTTCTTGGCACTATGTGTTTTAACCAAGGTCTCTGAGAAAGGTTGTTTCCCCAGGTAGGGATTTTCCCCTGAAGTTAGGGAGGGAATAAAACCTCTTAACTAAGTGCCAGGCAGTTAATTAATCACTTTAACTATGAACAATCATGCTTAAGCTACATAATCTTTACTCCCTGGAATGGAGATAAGAAACGCCCTAACCTTTGTAATAGAGATTGATAGGATTGAATCAACTGGTATAAATACAGATGTAATAAGACAGCAAGACACAGAACTTAGAACACAGAACTTAGAACACAGAACTTAGATTGAGAGAACATGGCAAAAGATCCTGGACTGAACCTGACTACAGAAATTGGCAAGAGAACCTGACTAGAACCTGGTGACTGAACCTGGCTGGAGAACCTGGACAGAACCTGGCTGGAGATCCAGACCAGAACTTGGCTGAAGATCCTGGCTAGAGATCCTGGATAGGCTGCTGATCAACTGAACGCTGTCTCCGTGTCCTTCCTTCTTCGCCGACTCCGTCTACACCTTTGGGGACCCCTGGACCTGCTGGGGTTGGACCCCGGCATCTGGCGCCCGAACAGGAACCCCTAGGTAAGCCCCACTCCCGGGATGGATAGGACTCCACCGTAGGAAGAGGGTGGATAGTCTTCGCCGACTCCGTCCACACCTTTGGGAACCCCTGGAACAGGATTCCCTTAGGTAAGCCCCCCCGCACTCGGGATGGATAGGACTCCACCATAGGAAGAGGGTGGATAGTCTTTGCCGACTCCATCCACACCTTTGGGAACCCCTGGAACAGGATTCCCCTAGGTAAGCCCCCCCCCCCATTGAGAACCCCCACACTCTGGACGGATAGGCCTCCACCAGGGTGCTACAGACCCCCCTATAGAGGATAAGTAGGGTAAAAAGGTGGATAGTACAGAACTTAGATTGAGAAGATGTGCCATACTGAGTCCAAAGAAAGAAGACTCTGTATTGATCTTTAGATTAAGAAGATGTGCCATACTGAGTCTAAAGAAATAAGACTCTGTATTGATCTTTTAACACATATGCTTGCTAGCAGAGGAATTAAGGTTACTCCCAGTCAGACAGAATGTTTTATACAAGGGGTATGTCCATGCTTTTCTGAGGAAGGAAAGGTAAATGTAATGGCATGGGAGAAGGTAGGCTCAAGGAGCCTTATCCTTAACCCCACTGCAGCCTTTCCACCCTGGGAAAGTGCAGGATTGGCAAGCTCTCCCTGGGGTGATAGATCGGGACTCAGGTAATAGTGGAAAGCGTCAATCCTACTCTTAAAATGGATATAAGAGAGCATTTGGGGGTTTTCTTTTTAATGCCTGCTTTTAAAAAATAAAAAAGGGGGAATTTGCCGGGAGCTGGTCCATGCTTGCTGTTTCAAGGGACCTGGCATATATGGCATACTGTTCTTAATATGTTTGCTCACCTTCTTGGCACTATGTGTTTTAACCAAGGTCTCTGAGAAAGGTTGTTTCCCCAGGTAGGGATTTTCCCCTGAAGTTAGGGAGGGAATAAAACCTCTTAACTAAGTGCCAGGCAGTTAATTAATCACTTTAACTATGAACAATCATGCTTAAGCTACATAATCTTTACTCCCTGGAATGGAGATAAGAAACGCCCTAACTTTGTAATAGAGATTGATAGGATTGAATCAACTGGTATAAATACAGATGTAATAAGACAGCAAGACACAGAACTTAGAACACAGAACTTAGAACACAGAACTTAGATTGAGAGAACATGGCAAAAGATCCTGGACTGAACCTGACTACAGAAATTGGCAAGAGAACCTGACTAGAACCTGGTGACTGAACCTGGCTGGAGAACCTGGACAGAACCTGGCTGGAGAACCTAAGCAGAACCTCTCTGGAGATCCAGACCAGAACTTGGCTGAAGATCCTGGCTAGAGATCCTGGATAGGCTGCTGATCAACTGAACGCTGTCTCCGTGTCCTTCCTTCTTCGCCGACTCCGTCCACACCTTTGGGGACCCCTGGACCCGCTGGGGTTGGACCCCGGCACTTTACTGCCACTACCCCCTGCCCCTCCTCCCCTGGCATCTTCCAAGAACAACTAGGCAGAGCAGGTTAACATGCATTGTGACTGCATTTCTCGTCAGGAAAATGTTTTAAGACACAAACTTGTTAAAGTGCTTTGCAATTGAACTAATTTTGCCACTCTTTATCTCCCATTGTTTCCTTGTTCTGGCATGTGTCTTTCTCACTGAAAAGAAAAATTGATTTTCATATACACTTTCACCGTCTTTTGTTGGAGTCACTGATTGAAACAAAAGTTCCAGGAAGAATATTATAACTTTGGGATGTGATGTTAAGGTACATATTGAATTGCCTAACAATACAAAACACAGGCAGACTCCACTAACCTTAACAAAGGAAATGTTTTATTCTCATTTCTGATGTAAGTTTAAAGGCTTTTTGAATCAGGATAAGACTAGCTACCCCATATTGAGCCCGCTGGGTGCCAGGCACTGAAGATGGTATTACCTTCTGTGATGTGGAAACCAAGCCGCTGCTACTGAAAGCACGTATGTCTCTGTTGTGCCACAGTGCCTTTCCTGAAGCAGAGCCTGCCCCCCAAGACCCCTGTGCTGCTGGGCTACCTCATTTGGGCATGACATGGAAGTAGTGTTGTCTTGCCAGTTTTGAAAAACCAAACTTTGCTTTAGCCACTTGCAATGTTTTATCAGTCCCCTCCTTGACATGAATTCTTTGAAGTTAAGATCGGAAACCTTGGGAAAAGCTTCCTTCTTTAAACAAACATAAAAATTAAGTAACATTTCTTTTCTCCTAACTATAAAAATAATATGTAATCATTCTAGAAAATTAATAAGTACAGAGAAGTGAAAAGAAATTAATGATATCCTGTTACTCAGAAATGGCCATCAGTTCTTCAAGGTGTTTCCTCTCAGTTTTGTGTGGATAAACATATCTTCTTCCCCATTCTCCAGAATTGGACATGCTGTATGTAAATATCCTTTTCACATAACATTTCATATCCTCAAAAAATTTACATACCTTACCCCACCCCTTCCTTCTTCCTCAAATGACTTCTCTCTGGCTCCTTCCTGTTAGCTCTGTGCAAAGAGTTCTAAAGGGGACAGGAAAAATGCAAGCGCCTAAAGAGGTGACCATTCTTCCAAGGAGAGAAAATGAAACGTTTGTGGAACAGAACGGTTTAGTGCCAATCTACTTGCTCTGAGAAGTTCATGGGTTAGAGAGGTGACCTTGAGCAAGCTTTGAACAATGTATTGAATAGGCTACACTCTGCCATGCAGAGGAATAAGCAAAGTTCAGTTCTAGTGGAGCCCAGATGGGTCAATTCCAGATTTAGATTTAGGATGAAATTCTCTTTCCATATGTTTTCAATGCCGTGTGTGCTGAGGGCAAAGGTCTAGTAACACTGAACGCTGATGCGCTGTGTCCAGTGTGTTCTCACCTGGAATTGTGAGTCCATAGTTTTGCACAAGGATTATATAGTGTATGTGTCCATTGTAATGAGCAATAATTGTGTTTTACTTTAATGATTTATCTTAAAAATGAAAACCTCATTTTCCTTTTTCTTATTTTTTTCATTCATTCCTGTTGAACTTTCCCCCCTTTTCTCAGATTCTGCACCAGTATTGTGGCTCAAGACTCCAAAGGCCACATTTACCATGGCCGGAATCTGGATTATCCATTTGGGGATTTCTTACGCAAAATGACTATGGATGTACAATTCTTAAAGAACGGGCAGGTATAGTCCATACAGCATAAGATTCAGAAATCCGAGACTTGATAACCCAAGTTAGCAATCATGGCCTGCTACTTAAATGTGTTATCAGTTTAAGATATAAAAAACATCAAACTCCTGGAAAAGCAAAACCAGAAGAGAGGTTTACATCAATTATGCTTATAGAAAGAAGAGTCATCTGTTATTATTAGCATAAAGAGGTCAATGCATATTCCTTGCGGAAATCTCTATAAGGGTGTGGTCTGCCGTCCACTTATGACACCAAGCCAGCTCTTTCCTCTGCTTGCCCTTGTTCAGGGGGGAGGAGGGCCTGTGTAGTTTAATGGCTAGAAACACCCAGCTTTGGGGTCTGACAGTCCTGACTTTGAATCCTGCTTTTGTCACTTATTTCCTTTATGAACCTGGGAAATCACTTAAACCCATTTTGCAGACTACAGCTCAGAGGTTGATAATTACTTTATGGTGATAGTTATTTTCATCATAGTACGGTCTAGTAACACTGAAAAGAAAACCACTGCTGAGCTGTATTCTGTGGTGTTACTTATTTAAAAGTATAGTCTAATAGGTACTATTGTCACATTTCTGTATAAACTTTTAGGGAGATGGCATTCATCAATATTCATTGATTATACATAGCAGGCTATTGCTATGAAATGGAACAGAGCATGCTAAAGCCAGGTTTTGGCTTTGAGGGACATTGTTTAAGGACAAGGACTATATTTTGTTTGTTCTTTGCATTTAGAGGTTGAGTCACAGATATGAAAAACTCATTTACTCATTTGGTCATCTGCATTTACAAACAGAATCTCTTATTAAAAGTTCGAACAGCACCGGGTTTCCCACATGCGGCCACTTGTAGGATGGAGCTGCTTAACCTCCTTTGTGTGGGAACCCCTTTGGTGAAGCTGCTGATCCCTTCTTAGAATTATGCTTATAATACATAAAATAAGAGGTATGGGATTGCAAAGAAAACCATTAGGTTGAAATACAGCCATTTCATTATTTTATTTATTCTTTTTTAAAAAATATTTTTTATTGATTTCAGAGAGGAAGGAAGAGGGAAAGAAAGATAGAAACATCAATGATGAGAGAGAATCATTGATAGGCTGCCTCCTGCACACCCCCTCCTAGGATTCCAGCCTGAAAACTGGTCATGTGCTCTGACCAGGAATGGAACCATGACCTCCTGGTTCATAGGTCAATACTCAACCACTGAGCCACACAAGCCAGGCAATTTTATTTATTCTTAACACATTAAATAGTAAAATTTGGCAGTGGCTTTAATAACTACCATAATTTTCAGGGTAGTGACAAGTGTGAATGATATTTCAAGTTATGTATGCATAGCATAGCAAGATAGGTATGATACCATTATGTGTGTGAAAATACCTGCAATTTCTGCTGGTGACAGAATGACAGGCACTGCTATGATGACATGGTTTATTGCAGGGGTCCTCAAACTTTTTAAACGGGGCCAGTTCACTGTCCCTCAGACCGTCGGAGGGCCGGACTATAGTTTAAAAAAAAACTATGAACAAATTCCTATGCACACTGCACATATCTTATTTTGAAGTAAAAAAACAAAACCGGAACAAATACAATATTTGTATTTGCATGTGGCCCGCGGGCCGTAGTTTGAGGACCCCTGGTTTATTGCATTATTCATTACAGAAGAAATGAAATTTCAGTTAGAAGTTAGTGAAAATAAAGATGTACCTTTTTTTCCCATCCAAGGTCATAGGTCCACTGAATTCTATCCAAGGTTAAACCTTCTACAAGGTTATTTCAGAGTTTTTATTCTATTATGTTGGAACCTTAGAAGAAAAAAATCCATGAAATTGTGGGGCAAAATAAGGTGATTTCAAAGTATATTTGGTTGGATGGTAAAATGGTACCTTATCTCTTGATTTCAGGTTGCATTCACTGGAACCACTTTTATTGGCTATGTAGGATTATGGACTGGTCAAAGTCCTTACAAGTTTACAATCTCTGGCGACGAACGAGGTAATCAAAATGAACGCCCAAGCATCCTTGTTCATTTTTATCCGAGTACTTCACTCACTCACCCAACAGAACATGTAGAACAACTACTACACTCGAGGGCATTCTGGTGAGGTTAGACGGGCAGTGGGCACGTCAGCAAGGAAGATGACTGCAGGTAGCTATAAGTGCAAGGAATTAAAACAGGACGATGTGATGGAGAATGAAGGAGGGGCAGGACGCTTTCTATAGCTAGAGGGTCCAGGAAGGCCTGACTCACGGGATCCTGCCAGACCCCTGCCAGGCTCCATGCATCCTGATGGGTTCAGTAGTGTGGTCACAGAAGGGAGAAGGAGGGAGGGGTGGGGGGAGGAGAGGAGGGCTGAGGCCATGGTGCAGGGCATGAGGAGTTTGGAATTTAAGCGCAATGGAAGCCCTTAAGGACTTTAGGCCAGGGCGTGAACAGATATTATTTATATGTTAGCTCTCACTTTGGCAGCTCTGAAGAGACTGAGTTGTGTTGGATTAAGATGGAAGCAGAGACGGTTAGGAAGCTGTGGTGATCTGGAGGCTGTATGATGGCCTCCACAGGCAGCATCTGTAAAGCACTTTACAGTGTCCTGTGCACTTTCTCCTAAGTTTCCTCATTAGAGCCTTACAACGGTCCTTCTACACTGGCAGGGCTGATATTATGAACCCCTTCACTGAGCAGAGGAGGAAACAGGCTCAGAAGAAATGAGAGCTAGTAGGTGGGGAGGTAGTTCTCAAATTGATTTCACGGGTCCTGGCCCAACGCTCTGTTATACAGCCGCTGCCCTTCCACAAATCTCAGGGACATCGTTCAGTTCCACAGTATGTGGGAAGCCAATGGTAACCTCTTGTCTCTGTCCTCAGGAGCTTACAGCTGAGTGAAGGAGACAGGCACAAGGAGTCTCTTAAAGTTTAGTGTTGGTCATTGATGAACCCCACTGACTTCCTGTTATTGTTTCCTCTGATTAGGTTTATTCTTTTTTTTAATCTTTATTAATCATCCTTACCCAAGGATATGTTGAGAGAGAGAGAGAGAGAGAGAGAGAGAGAAACATCAATCAGTTGCCTCCTGCATGAGCACTGACCAGGGATTAAACATGCAACCTGGGTATGTGCCCTGACTGAGAATCAAACCCTCAACCTTTTGGTGTATGGGACGACGCTCCAACCAACTGAGCTACACTGGCCAGGGCTATAGTAGTCAGTTCTTTATCCTAATGTATTTCTTCAACATTTTCTCAAATGTCAGCTATGTGTGAGCCTGTTTCTCAAGTGGTACTCCAACCACAGCATGACAGTTATTAAAATTTTACACAGAATGTCTGTAAACACATATATATTTATTAAAAAGTGGGCTTTGTTTCCATCATTTTGCAACTCAGATTGTTTAACAAACTGATTAGTAGAACCTAAGGTATGAGCAGTTTACAAATAATACACATTTAATTAAGTACTGTCAAACTGCTTTTTAAAAATATATATATATTTTATTTATTTTTTACAGAGGAAGAGAGAGAGATAGAGAGTTAGAAACATTGATGAGAGAGAAACATTGATCAGCTGCTCCTGCACACTCCCTACTGAGGATGTGTCTGCAACCTAGGTACATGCCCTTGTCCGGAATCGAACCTGGGACCTTTCAGTCCACAGGCCAATGCTCTATCCACTGAGCCAAACCGGTTTCGGCTGTCAAACTGCTTTGTAAAAACTTTTAAAAACCTTATTTGAATGAAAACTATCTTTTAATCTGCTAAGATTGAGTTGAAATGCCTGAACAGTAAGGTAAGATCTCTTGGTTAATGGAGATAAGATATTCAGTTACGCTTCTGGGCATTATGGAGAGTGGCAGCAGTGCCTCTAACCACCGTGAGAAGGGGTAAGGATATGAAGACTAACTAATGGCATAGAGATGAAGAGCCTTAACTAACCACCTGGCGGTTAAGATCTCAGACTCCAGAGCCAGCCTGCCTTGGTTATATCTTGGTGCTGTCACTTGCTAACTGGGTACCCAGGACCAAGGTGCTTAAACTGTCTGTACTTCAGTGTCCTCATCTGGAAAGCAGGGATGATAATCACTGTTGTGAGGATGAAATGAGTTCATGTACATGAAGTGCACAGAGCAGTGCCCGGCACACAGTAAGGGCTGGTGGAACATCTGTTATTATTACCACATCCCCAAGCCTGACTTCTGAAACCCAGATTGGAGTACCCATCCATCGTCTCAGCATCTCTACCTTGACGTCTACCGAGTATCTCAAACTTCACGTGCTTAAGCAGATCTCTCGACTTTTTCTTTCCTTTTCTTGCCCTCACTCTGCTTCCACCCAAATCTGTTCCTCTCTTGGTTTTGTGTGTCTTAGGAAATGGCACTGCTAATCAACTGATGTACCAGGAGATTCTTTGATCTCTAATATAGTCCTAAGTTTAACTTTTCCTTTTTGGCTGTCTAGTCATCCTCATCCGTCTTCTGCTTCTTGGAGGGTTAGTTTTAAGTGGAGTCAGCTTTTCAGGGAGTCAACTCTGTCTGAACAACCACATAGCAGATGTTCAATGCTTATTTCTTGAATGAAAAGTATTCTTTGAAAATAAGTCCCCTATAGAAAAATTTCAAGATGTTAAAAAGTAATTTTGGGAAATGATTGTAAATTTGTTGTTGTTTTTTTAAAGTGAGTCCCAGTCAAACTTAAAGTCATGAAAGATATATATACTCTTTACAGTCTTCCTAATACTTACTGAGCCACTTCTGATAGTTCCATAAATTTATTTTGCCTGAGGTAATTCATAGAGTGATTTCCTTTAAGATAATTATCATTGCTTCCCGGCACCAGAAATTCTGTGTAGAGATGTGATACACACACACACATGTTTACACAGAACACAGAATCTTTGGTGCCTGAAAACAATGCTTTTAGCTTCATCTTTGAAAACTGGATGCTAATAAAATCACTCTTCATCTACCAACCTTCCCCCCTTCCCCCACCAGCTTGGACTATGGGAAGGAAGCAAGACTTAAGGAATTTAAAAAAGTGGCAGCAATTGTGTGTACACTTACTGTTCCTTCACCTCGGCAGATAAAGGCTGGTGGTGGGAGAATGCGATCGCTGCCTTTTTTCAGAGACACTCTCCGATCAGCTGGCTTATCCGCACTGTGAGTATATTGACTGGAGCCCACCTCACCCTGACTTCATCTTCTGTGACACTCTGTGCCATCTAACAATGTTGTTCTTAACGTAAGAAGCTCCTGCAGCCCTAGCTGGTTTGACTCAGTGGATAGAGCATCGGCCTGCGGACTGAAGGGTCCAGGGTTCGATTCTAGTCAAGGGCACTGCCTGGGTTGCAGGCTCGGTCCCCAGTGGGGGGCCTGCAGGAGGCAGCCAGTCAATGATTCCCTCTCATCATTGATGTTTCTAACTCTTTCTTCCTCTCCCTTCTTCTCCAAAATCAATAAAAAATATATTAAAAAAAAAAGAAACTCCTGCAAAGCATAAGCATCTAAAGGTTTGCAAAGTGCATAACGACCTTTTGATAGTATGTTAAAGTGGTAAGGACAGATTTTAATCAGCAGTATAATACTGCAATGGGAGAAAGCGTGACTTGCACTCAACTTTGATTTGTACAGCGGTACCTGGGTGTTTTAAAGGGAGAGTGGGTAATGGAGGAGGTGAGGGGGAACACAGGAGAGTCAGAGAATTGACAAATTACAAAAAGCCAAAAAGAGGGATTGTTTGTGTAAAACCTGAGTTTGCTAACTGTTAGGCTCCTTCCCTCCAGCAGACCGGGAGACAAGGGCCCTATCTTCAGGTGTTGGCTGAAACAGACAGTAAATTATTTTGTCAGTGTCCAGGGAGGAAAAATTGTCTTCGACCCTTCTAGGTTATTCTGGCTGGTTTAATAATCAAATTGACATGAGACAGATTAGCAGGAGAAACAATATTTAATAACGTCTATACCTCTTGTATAATACCCAGGAAAACTGTAACTCTCACCAAAATGGTGGAAGCCATCACCTTAAATACGTTCACTGAAGATAAAAGGAGACGTTGAGGGTGGGGAGTCAGTTATGGGAGGCAACCAGGAAAAAGTATAGCAAGAGTAAGATTTTTGTTTGTTTTTATTGATTTCAGAGAAAGAAAGATAGAGGGAGAGAGGGGTAGAAACATCAGTGCACACCCCCTACTGGGGATCAAGCTCACAACCCACGCACGTGCCTTGACCAGGAATCGAACTGTGATCTCCTGGTTCATAGGTCAGTGCTCAACCCCTGAACCACATCAGCTGGGCAAGAGTAAGATTTTTAACAGATCAGTAGTTATAAAATAGTCGTGGGGCTGTAAAGTACAACATAGCAATAGAGTCAATAATATCCTAATAACTATGGATGGTGCCAGGTGGGTACTGGAAATATTAGGGAACACTTTGTAAAGTATATGATTTCTAACCACTATGCTATATGCCTGAAACTAATATAAAATAATGTTGAATGTAAACTGTAATTGAAAAAATTTTTGAAAAGTAAGATTTCTATGCAGATTTGAGTCTAAGCTTTCTCCACTGATAACAGTTTCTAGAGATTCATATACCCTTATTCTGGTACAGTTAGGGAGACACCCTCACAAATGGAGAGTTCTCTGATGAATGGAAATGCCTTTTATAAAGGGTAACTTCCACCTGGTTTCCAAAGCTTCTGCCATGTCTGCTGTTTCTTAAAGATAAGCAACTTAAAATAATCCTTATGCCACAGAGACATATTTGGGGAGGTAAATTCTGCTCCCCTACAGCAGCCTGGGGTTTTCTTGGGCAGTCACTATAAGGGGGGGGGGGGGGGGGGGGGGAGGAGGGCTAGCGTCGTAGGGATGTGGCCTTGAGCTGTTGGAAACTGTTAGTGTTTGTTCCAGTCTTTGTAGGCCGAGGTTAAGGCCTGATCAAGAGGAGGGCTCAGAGGAGGCTGGCCAGAGTTTGGGCAAGGAGAGAATCTTGGTCCTAGGCTCTAGTTTTCCAAGATAGCTGATTGAAATAAGAGATAATACTATGCTTTTCTACAGACATAGATATACCTCCCCTTTAGAAATCCCAGTGGCAAATATTCGAATTAGCAAAACAATTACATTAGAAGGTAGCTCTACACAAAACAAAAGGAGCATCTCCGTTACAGGACCTACCAGATAGCAGAGTTCCAGGCTGAATGTAAGTTGTCCTTCTACCATAGAAGGCTAGTGTGGCCCAGTGGTAGAGCACCAAAGGGTCGAGGGTTTGATGCCTGGTCAAGGGCATGGACCTGGGTTGCAGGTTCATTCAGACCCAGTTGGGGGAGCATGTGGGAGGCAACCAATTGGTGTGTCTCTCTCACATCCATGTTTCTCTCTCCCCCTCCCTTCCTTTCACTCTAAGAAAATCAATGGAAAAAAAATATCCCCTGGTGAGGATTAAAAAACATGGGGCTATTATGAATAACCTGCCATAATTTACATAAAGTGTAATGCATAGATATTAAGAGTTTAGTTCAATGTATTTTGACAGTTGTACTCACTCATATAGCCATGCCTGTAACCACAAACAAAATAAGACACAGAGCGTTTTTAAGTCCCTGGAAATTTCCCTAGCGTCCTTTCTAATAAGTTCCCAACCTCCTCTGACACCCAGTCTTCCCCCAGGAAACCACTGTTTGACTTCTGTCACTACAGAGAACTTTTGCCTGTTCTAGAATTCATATAAATGAAATCATAGTATATGGACTCTGTTTCTTTCACTCAGCATAATGTTTTTCAGATTTATCCATGTTATTTGTGTTACTAGCTTGTTCCTGTTATTACTGAAAAATATTCAATTCTATGAATATTCCACAATTTATCCATTTTCTTGTTGATAGACATTGATTGGGTTGTTTCCAGTTTGGGTTATTATGAATAACCTGCCATAGAAATTCTTGTACAAGTCTTTTTGTAAACATATGTATCCATTTCAGTTGGGTCATGCTTAAGGATGGAATTGGTGGGTCATAGGTAGATGTATAATTAATTGAGGTATATAAATAAGTGCCATACAATTCACCTATTTAAAGCATGCAACTCACTGGTTTTTTATATACTCAACTAGAGGCCCGGTGCACAAAAATTTGTGCACTCAAGGGGGAGGGGGGGTCCCTCAGCCTGGCCTGTGCCCTCTCGCAGTCTGGGACCCCTCAGGAGATAACGACCTGCTGGCTTAGGCCTGCTCCCGGGTGGCAGAGGGCAGGCCTAATCCCTAGGTGCAGCCCCTGGTCGGGCTCAGAGCAGGGCCGATTGGGGAGTTGGGGCACCGCCCCCTGTCATGCACAGAGCAGGGCGGATTGGGAGGTTGTGATGCCACCCTCAGTCACGCTCAGGGTAGGGCCGATTGGGGGGTTGGGGCACCTCCCCCTGTCACACTCAAGGCAGGGTTGATGAGGAGATTGCGGTGCCACCCCCTGTCACGCACAGAGCAGGGCCAATCAGGGGGTTGGGGCGCTGCCCCTTGTCAGGCACAGAGCCGGGCCCATCAGGGGGGTTGGGGCTCCGTACCCTGTCACACACAGAGCAGGGTCGATCGGGGGTTGGGGAGCTCCCCCCTGTCACGCACAGAGCAGGGCCCATCAGGGGGTTGAGGAGCTCCCCCCTGTCACTCACAGAGTAGGGCCAATAGGGGAGTTGGGGCACTGCCCCATCACACACAGAGCAGGGCGGATCAGGGGGTTGGAGCGCCGCCACTGTCACACCCAGGGCAGGGCTGATGGGGACGTTATGGCTCTACCCCATCACAGAGCAGGGCTCGTGGTGGTGGGGGGAGGGGTTGGGGCGCCGCACCCTGTCACACACAGAGCCGCAGGGTGATCAGGGGGTTGGGGAGCTCCCCCTATCAGGCACAGAGCAGGGCCGATCAGGGGGTTGGGGCACCTTCCCCTGTCAGGAACAGAGCAGGGCCGATAGAGAGGTTGTGGCCCCGCCCCCGTCACACACAGAGCCGCAGAGCGATCAGGGGGTTTGGGCGCTGCCCCCTGTCACGCTGATCCCGATGCCAGGAGGCCTCTCAGCTCCGCTGATCCCGGTGCTGGGAGGCATATTACCCTTTAACTATATAGAATAGAGGCCTGGTGCATGGGTGGGGCTGGCTGGTTTGCCCTGAAGGGTGTCCTGGATCAGGCTGGGGGTCCCCACTGGGGTGCCTGGCCAGCCTGGGTGAGGGGATGATGGCTGTTTGCAGCTGGTCACACACCCTTCAGGGTGGGGTCTTCACTGGGGTGCCTGGCCAGTCTGGGTGAGGAGCTGAGGGCTGTTTTCAGGCTGGGACTGAAGCTCCCAACTGCTCCTTTTTTTCTTTTTATTCTGGGCCAGCTTTAGCTCTGAGGCTCCAGCTCTTAGGCCTCCACTCCTGAAAGCAGGTATCTGGTTTGTTTTGGTTCTGTAATCGAAACTCTGTATCAATTCCAGCCCTGAGATCCCAGCTAGCTGAAAGCAGGTTTCTGGGGTTTTGTTTAGCTTCTATATTCATTACAATGTTTCTTAAACTGCAAGCTCAGAGGCCGGCAAGGCAGGGAACGTTGGAGTCCTCTGTCACTGAAGCAAGCAAGCCTCACGTTAGTTTCAAGCTGCCTGGCTGCCGGCCGCCATCTTGGCTGGCAGTTAATTTGCATACCTCGCTGATTAGCCAATGGGAAGGGTAGCGGTCGTACGCCAATTACCATGTTTCTCTTTTATTAGATAGGATATACTCACAGAGTTGTACAGCTGTCACTACAATCAATTTTAGAACATTTTCATTTCCCTTAAAAGAAACCCTGTACTCATTAGCCGTCACTATCTATTTCCTCCATTTCCTGAGATAAACATAAGGTACATGTTCTCACCCACAGTTTACCTCTGAGTGAAATAAGTCAGCACTGCCTCCAGTTTTTCTTACTGGTGTTCTTTTGCTTTTTTTCTCATACAGTTCTGTTAGAGGAATGCATGCTTAGATAGCAGTTGGGGGATGGTATAGGCAGCAAATAAAAAAAAATGAAAATGTTTCATCAGTCCTGTTGCCTCACTTTATAATTTTGCTGAGTTCAGAACAAATAACTCAAGTCTGAATACCTCCCCCCGAACAGCAATATGTATAAGGCAGGGGAACGTCCACATGCCCCTGCCCTGGGATGGTGGGTTATGGTGCTGAATGTGGTGCCTTTGCAGACATGAATATTTTGAATTGCTCTTTGATTTGGCCCTATCCTCACCCTGCCCTTGACACTGTGCCTCAGCGGTGTTCAGGATGGGTGAGCAGAAAATGTACTGCTTTTGCACAGGGGGAGAAGGTTGATTGTGAAGGCGCGGGTGGGACAGGCAGGCCGTCCAGTGCAGGACATTCCTGTGCGATCAGTTGGAGGAGGGTCATACTTGGAAGCTGAAGATCTGGAAAGTGATTTCCTGACAGTCCATGCCACAGACCGTGGGAAGTCTTCACGAAGCCCCAGGGGTCACTGAACACCAGTTCAGCTCACTACTCTAATGTGGCAGCTCTGAGCCTTTGCCAAACCCTTCCATGGAGATAGAACTCTCTTCCCCATCGCCACTCCCAACCCCGCAGCTACCACTGTCACCACTCTAACTTCTGAGTCTCTTTGGCCTCAGCTCACGTGATACCTTCCTGAGATGCCTCCTCGATGCCATGGGTGAGGATGGTTCCCTTGCTCTGACTTCCATAGCGTCTTTTCCTTGTTGACACTCATTACATTGCATCACCATTTTGTTGATTTTCCTGTCATCCTTAGAAGTTTGGGGAGAACAAGGCTGGGTCTGTTGTATTCACTGCTGTCTCCATACCACATGGTGTCTAGCACATACTAGGTACTCAAGAAATACCTGTTGAGCCCTAACCAGTTTGGCTCAGTGGATAGAGCATCGGCCTGCGGACTGAAGCGTCGCAGGTTTGATTCCCGCCAAGGGCATGTACCTTGGTTGTGGGCACATCCCCAGTGGGGAGTGTGCAGGAGGCAGCTGATCGATGCTTCTCTCCTATTGATGTTTCTAACTCTATCCCTCTCTCTTCCTCTCTGTAAAAAATCAATAAAATATTTTTTTTAAAAAAAGAAATACCTGTTGAGCCCAGCCAGTGTGGTGCAGTGGTTGAGCGTTGACCCATGAACCAAGAGGTTACCAGTTCGATTCCTGGTCAGGGTACATGCCCGGGTTTCGAGTTCAATCCCCAGTGTGGGGCGTGCAGGAGGCAGCCAATAGATGATTCATCACTGATGTTTTTATCTCTTTCTCCCTCTCACTTCCTCTCTGAAATAAATACAAATATATTTTAAAAATACCTGTTGAAAGAGCAAATGAATGAGGAAACAAGGGGAGTGGTCTGCTTAGAAAAACACGCGGCCCATGTTTTCTGAGCTGGGCCTAGAGCTTGTCAGCAGTTCTTCCCTTCTGTGGGAAAAATCCTGGGCAGTTGGCTCCCCGCTGAGGTTTCTTCCATTTCAAGAGTCCCGATGACAAGAGGATGAAGTCAGAGCAGTTCAAGGTTGTGACCGTGGGTTCATATATCAGGAGGATGTGCTTTGGACCGCTTGGCCATCGACTGGTATGACTGATGATGCTAACACAGGTTTGTCTCTGTTCAGACCCTGAGCGAATCGGAAAACTTCGAAGCAGCTGTTGACAAACTGGCCAAGACTCCGCTTATTGCCGATGTGTACTACATTGTTGGTGGCATGTCCCCCCGGGAAGGCGTGGTCATCACGAGGGACAGAAGAGGCCCGGCAGACATTTGGCCTCTCGATCCTTTAAATGGAGCGTGAGTAGAACGAAAGGCTCTGGTCATTTCGCATTAATAATCTATATTTAATTGATGAAACTGGAGGTATTTTTCATTTTTGTATATTTCTTCTCTACTTAATGTCTCCAATGACCTTGGAAAGATAAGATGATGTGCTGTGTTGTAGGTGGTTCCGAGTGGAGACAAATTATGACCACTGGAAGCCAGCGCCTGCGAGGGATGACCGAAGGTGGGGCTCTCTCTGCTTCCCAGTATATTCTGTGGTCAGGAGAACGTACCCCTCCTTCACAGGAACTATCTAGCACTACAGGTGCTATCCCCTCCCAGAAAATATACCTGGGCCCCCTTGCCAGTGCCAGGTGGCGGTGAGATAGAGTGTGGTGGGGACACGAGGGAGAGCCTTTTGGCAGTTGGTCGCGTATTGGGAGCGTAAGGCTGGCTCTGGCTGGTGGTGGGGAAAAAAGATGATTTCAGTTCTCTTGAGTCTCTGTTCAGCCATCTGTAAAAGGAAAAGGTAGAGCAAGATTCATGGTTCCTATGTAAGACTTTTTTTTGGAAGGAAAATCTTTTTCATACTGAAATAAATAACTAGACCAGTTGGGGGCTTTTGTTGTCCCTGCTAATTTTGCAGCTTCTGTGGTTATAAGTCAGTGCATCCTCAAAGAGCAGATATTCCCCTTGGCTATACGGCCCCTTGGGGTTTGGTGGCAACTGTTCAACCTGCAGCGATAGGTTCTTCCCCAGCCCAGCTTCCCTGAGCAGATGGGGCCAGTGGGCGCGACTGTTGGATTCATTCCACCGAGGGGGTCTGGGAGTAGGGAGGAAACATGCTTGGGGGCCGAATCTGTTTTGAGGAAAGGGAGATAAGGAGGCTGGGCCTCCCATTGAGTCTCCCCAAATGAGAACTGGTGGGACTCAGGGTTTCCTGAAGTGCCAAGTGACCTTTGACCATTGTCCTTACAGAACACCCGCCATCAAAGCCCTTAATGCCACGGGCCAGGCCAACCTCAGCCTGGAGGCCCTCTTCCAGGTAACTTCATTGGGACGCCCAGTTTTCGCTCAGGCTGTTTGGTGTCTTCGTTAGTAGTGACGTAAGAACACTTTCTCCTCTAAAGTCAAGCAGATGTGGTAGAAGCAAACGCTAGAATAAAAGTTTTACCGGGCCGAAACCGGTTTGGCTCAGTGGATGGAGCATCGGCCTGCGGACTGAGAGGTCCCAGGTTCGATTCCGGTCAAGGGCATGTACCTGGGTTGCGGGCATATCCCCAGTAGGGGATGTGCAGGAGGCAGCTGATCGATGATTCTCTCTCATCGATGTTTCTGACTCTCTATCTCTCTCCCTTCCTCTCTGTAAAAAATCAATAAAATATATTAAAAAAAAAAATTAAAAAAAAAAAAAGTTTTACCTGGTTGAAAACATTTTTTTAAAAGTCAGATGACATTTTCTGAATTTGCTTCTGTGGGTTGAAGTATCCGTCTTCACCTACATTTTTCTGCGTGTTAGAAAAAGGGACAGATGTGATAAATGGTCACATCTGAATGTGCAGGATGTTAAAGGATGCAGAAGTCTGTAACTGTCACTCAGGCCGAAGTGTTAAGGGGTTTTATTCTTCCTGTATGGATTTCTTCTCCACTCTGACAGTTTTTATAATACAATTTTCTCCTGTGCAGGTTTTGTCGGTGTTTCCGGTGTATAACAAGTAAGTGGCATCTGTTCACATCTGTTCTCACGTCACCCCAGAAGGTGGACTCATGTGCCCTTTGGCTCAACAGGGATCTGAGGGCTCCTGTGGAGCAGGCTTTCTAGGTGCTGTGGAAATGGCAGTGGACAAAACAAAGTCTGCTCTCACGGGACTAGCATTCTGCTGGCCCAGGAGAGGTAGATAAACAAGTATGTCATAAGTCAGGTGACAAGTCCACCAAGAAAAACAAAGGTAAAGAAAAACAGAGCTGTTGTCATCCTAACTCTGTGTGGGAGCCCCTTCATTTCACTGTTAGATCTAAACTTGAGACAGCTTTGGCCTCCCTTTGTCTTCCTGGGGAGGTTCTGCTACCCTGGGCTCATTCCGCAGATCACTCGGTATCTAAGTCCCCATGCCCGTGACAGTCCACAGCCTGGGACTGTACCCACATCGTTTTCTGAAGCGAACCACTGGGCTGTCACCACCACTGCCACAGGAAGCTCTTAGTTAAAGGTGAGAGGCAGCCACCTCCAAACTCGTAGGAGGACCTGAACTTCACCATCGCCGCAGGCTGGACAGCTCAGCCTTCTGGTGATCGGTGATCGGCCCCCTCCGGGTGCTGTCCATGGCCTTACCCACACCTGAGGCCGCTCAGGAGGAGTGCTGGCACCTTGTTTTGCTTCCGTGGTAGGACTTAACTGACTAAAATAAAGAGGAAGCATCTGCAAGTCGATACAGAGTTTTAAGTTCTGCTCAGTACATTCCAGAGCCGAGCATTGCCTACCGACTCCTCAGCCTCACTTCCACTTTCTCCAAGACAGAAATATCAAAATAGTATTCTTCAAGAAATAGCGAATGCAGGTAAAACCTGTAAAGTGGGTTTTAGTTTCAAATACCCAATGGCTTTTTTTTTTTTTTTTTTTTTTTTTTAAAAAACAATCCTCTTTTACACAAGCACAGAATAGGAGTTTTCCTGATGGCCTCGAAAGTAACTCGTATATGGTGCTTTAAGGTTTGTTATGTGTAATGACATTTTCAAAACTGGTGTTACTCTTTTTTACTTTGTACAGTAGTAGGAATATATATCTCAAAATACCTGTTCTAAAGGTTTTTTTTTTTAATGGCCTGATGAAAAGATGAATGCTAAACAGTTTGTTCCAGAAACAATATTCTAACAACCAAATACAGAAAAACCAAATTACCTAGTCAGTCAGTATTTTACCACTCTACCCAAATGAGCTACTTGGGTAACAAGTGGTACCCAGTGGTATGCTAGTAAACTAGCTGTTTGGTGGGGACCAAAAAACAAAGAAAAGACCCCCCTGATTTGTAGTATTTATTAGCCCCCATGGGATAAGTACTTCTACCTGGGAGTACTTATTTCAAGCATACAATTGATTTATAAATGTCCTGCGTATTTAACAGCTGGCTCTCACCAGCCGTTAGGAACTGACTCCAAATGCAACACTGGCTGTACTCCTTCTGGAAAGGCACAATTTTGCCTTTTTCGTGTTCATTCAAAAGATAGGGATTAAAAACCTGTTTTTGTGTTCTTATAGTTTTTTTTTCTTTTTTTAAAATAAATCTTTATTGTTCAGATTATTACAGTTGTTCCTCTTTTTCCCCCCATAGCTCCCCTCCACCCGGTTCCCACCCCACCCTATGCCCTTACTCCCCCCCCCTCACTGTCCTCATCCATAGGTGTACGATTTTTGTCCAGTTTCTTCCTGCACCCATTGCACCCCTTCCCCCCTCCGAGAATTGTCAGTCCACTCCCTTTCTATGCCCCTGATTCTATTATATTCACTTATAGTTTTGAAAATAATTATATAAATTATGAATATATATTTTTAAATTAGCATTATAATAAAATACTTACGTTTACTTTAATAAAGCATTTCAATGTTGTGAGTAACCCTTATAATTTTAAATAGCTGCATAGCAGTAGAATGTAGTATAATTGAGTTAAGCATTTTCCAGTTGTTAGGTTTTCCTCTATTAAAGCTCTGAAATAAACACATTTGTGCAATTCTCTCTCCGCCTTACCCACCCCCACCCCAACTTTTGAATATTTCCTTTGCCTGGATTCCCAAATGTGGGGTTACTAAGTTAAAGGCTGTAAATGTTGAAATGACTCTGAAATGTTTTGTTGAAATGACTCTGAAATGTTTTGTTGAAATGACTCTGAAATGTTTTGTCGAAATAGAATGTTAGAAATCATAAAGTTTACGGAGTCGCATTTTTCTCTGTTGTGTAATTGAAATCCCAAGAGGAACTGCACTTAAAGAATAATCACCACTAAACTTTAGACAATAAATTTTTTAAAAAAGAATAATCATCACTGAGCCAGAATTAACACAGATCCCTGACTCTCGGGCCCTTTACTGTATGAGGTTAATAGAAATAAGCCTGAACAGAAGTTAGCTCTATGCTGTGCTATAAAATTACACTCACCTGCAGTAGAACTCCATGCTCTGCTGTGGCTAAAAGCAGAGAAAATTTTAAAGCCGTGTTGGAGAATAGAATTATCGTTAAGGTAAATAAACAGCCAAGGTCCTCATTCAGGAAACATGCCCTTAGTGCTTTCTTTAGCTGGGTGTCTGATTCAGCTGTAGGGCCCAGGGCCACTAACTCTGCCTGTTCTTGAGCAACCCAGCTCCAAGTGCTTTGAACATGCATCCCAGCTAGTGTCCAGCACAAGTGGTAGGTGAAGGGAGTGAAGGGAAGAGGCCCTTGTGTGTGCACCTGGGCTCAGGTTGTTCAGGTCTCCTGCTGGGCAGAATGACGCAGAATGTTGAGTAAATGACATCATACTTTCATCCTTGGATTTGAGCAAGTGGGCCTCCTATCTCGATTCCTGAGCCCTGGCCATCCTCGACCCTGTCTTCCTTTAAAATTCCCCTGGGCCAGGTGCATTTGCCCACCCAGTCTGGCTCAAGTACTCAGGAATTCTTAGCTCATTTCTGTGGGAGGCGGTGGTCTCCTGATGGTGGTGTGCAGCCATTGTGGGCATCCTGTGGCCAAGGAATGTTTGCTGGGGGTCATGCATGAAGCCTAGATGCAAAGGCTGAGGTGTCCACATACACGTCCCCCCATTCCCCAGCAGCGTAGGGCAGAGCAAGGGGTGAGGGTCAAGGCTGGACCTCCCTCAGTGCCCAGCATGCAACTCTGAGAAGTCTGAGAATTTTAAAATTTGAACGTGGCCTTTCACAGTGTCATCAAAATAGGAGGAACGATCACCTTGAGTGTGTGGTCCCTTGAATTATAAATTTTAAATATTCTGACATATGTGGGCCTCTGTTGGTATTCTTACCCTAGGTCCCAAGTGTTAGGGAAGGGCTTAGTATTTTTTTCTCTTCTTTGGAATACTAGGGAAAATGATGCCTATATAAACATTTCTCTCATTATTTTCAGCTTCACGGTTTATACTACAGTAATGAGCGCTGCCAACCCAGACAAGTACATGACGAGGGTCAGAAACCTGGGTTAAAAGGAAGTAAGCAGAAGAGTGAACTCACCTGCTATGAAAGGTTTGTTAAAGTTTGTTGGGGGAGGTAGAGGTGTGTGTGTGCTGGTATTTCTCACAGAAGATGGTAACATACTTAACATTTATACATATATGATGTTATCATATCATTTGTGTCAAATGAATGTCACTATTAGGTATTTATTTTGAATTGTTTGTATGAGAGCGAATCTCCTGGTGCCTGGTACCCTTTGCTCCCTTATTAAAACCTATGCTCAGGGCAAAGTGTTATCTCTTCATTATATGGAGAGGAAAATAGCAGGTAGGGCTTACGTGTCCCCAGAGTAATAGTGAGGTAGGCCCATCACCTTTGCAGCATAAGACAGATACTGAGGTCACGGGATGCTTACAGAATTCATGTTAGGCATCAGTGAGCTCATGGATGAGAGGAAGGACCTGAGGAAGGGGTGGGAACCCTTTTTGCTGAGACCTTCTGGGCAGCCACCTACTGATAGGACACCTTTTCCTACTGCAGGGATCTTCTGGAGTTTGTGAACCTGGCTTTGGTTTTGGTCATTCACTTACCCTGGGGATGTTAAAAGTCAAAAACAGACTCATAGATAGAAAGCAGGCAGACCGCTGGGGATTGCGGGGAGGTGGTGAATGTAGGAGGTGGGGTGAGCAAAAAGAAAACTCATGGACAACAGTGTGGTAATTGCACAGGGGAGGGGGAGGGTGGAGCTAGAAGAGGGTGGAGGTGGAAGAGGGCATAGAGGAATGAATGGTGATGGGAAAAATTCAATTTTTTAAAAAAGTCAGTTTTTGAATTAAAGGCATTTCTTTCTCTTTTTTTTTTCTTTCTTTGCAGGTGATTTTTTAAAAAATGAATTCTTGAAGAGCTGCACGTTAAAAAATAAAACAAAGTGAAGGGACTGTATTATTTTACTAGAGGCCCAGTGCACGGATCCATTCACCAGTGGGGTCCCTTGGCCTGGCCTGCACCCTCTCACAGTCCGGGACCCCTTGGGGGATGTTGGACTGCTGGTTTTGACTCGATTCCCCGAAGGCCAGGTCAAGGGACCCGCATCAGGCCTCTAGTATGCATATAAGATCTTTGGTTAATCTCTTCCCGCCCTCCCCCCCCCCAACTTCCCTCTGAGATTCATCAGTCTGTTCCATGTTTCTATGCCTGTGTGTTGAGTGTCTGCTCTCTGTGCATCATAGCTACTGGTTGGACGGTGAGACGGTCTCTTAGGCTTTTATGTATATAGGTGAGCAATATAGGCTCATTCCTCATTAAACTTTTCTACTGTGTGAAGTTGGGGGGGGGGGTTAGCACGAGGATCACTTTGGAGCTTGTTTTGGTAAAATGGGGAGCAGGCTCCTTGCATTCCCTTCCTGTCACGGTTTGCCTTGCCCCTCCCCAAGCTTCCTCTATCCTGGCTTGAATGACTAACTCAAAGATAATTGGTTTCAGAGGTCAAACTGTATCCCAGCTTCTCACTATAGCATAGCTATGTTGTCATACCTCAGCTTATAAAGAAATAAGTTCTTTGTTCATTATGAAGTGTTTGTGGAAGAGTCTGAGAAAGAAAAATTCTTCTCAAAGAAATGGAGCTCTCATTTGAATAGAGCCTGTTTGGTTTGTTAGTCTAACCTTTGATTACGTATTTCCATGTGATGGGATTCTCATTTTGTATAATGTTTCTAACCTGATATACCTCCTTTTTCAAATAGCCACTTTCTTACTGCTTTTTGAAAGCAATATACAGCCAAATAATTTCTAATGGTCACTTATCATTAGTTAATAAAATGCTGGAAAAGATGTTGGCGAGGAAAATAAAAATTTCCAAGATATTTAGTGCTGTGTTCTTCCCACCTTCTGAACAGCTGTCCTGAGGAAGCAGCTCTTGCAGGTGTTGAGTGTCAGGATTCAAAGACGTGCACAGCCGCTTTGTAGAGCTGGATTTTTTTCACATGTATATGAAAGAAACTTCTTTGGGATGAAGTCAGAAAAGGCTAAAAGCCTGAGAAAAGGAGTTGATGGGTATTCTTGTTCAGAGCACCAGTCTAAGGAAGGGAAACGGCATGTCTGGAAGGAAAAGCTGGCCAGGCACAGGTCATCCTGCCTCATCACGCTACACATCTCTCTAGTTGCCCGGAATATACAGTTTCTTCTTGGAAAGTGTTGGATCAACACTGTTAAATTTCCATCATCCAATGCCCCTTTTAAAATCAAATATCAAGAGTAGTTTACTCTTGCCAGACACATCACACTGTGATTGAGACCAGAAATTTCTACTTACTGGTCACATGTCATTCTTTTTTGAATATATACTGTGAGTTTGGGTGGAAATGAAGCCCTCGAGAGCTTGGAAGCAGGACAGTCATTGAAGCATCTGAACCTCTGGCTGCTTTTAAGACCTTGGTCCTTTGTGCCATGTGCTTGCACTACAGTGCACCTTCTCCTGAAATCTGAGTAGGTATGTGAGGGGCTGTCTTAGCCCTTCTGGAATTTTTTTTGGGGGGGAGGGGAAAGTGAGAGGAGTGGATTTCTCTCTCAATGATGTATTCCAGGCATTTAAAGATTTCCTCCCTTTAAATCAGAAATATTTCTTCAGTGGGTTTATTGAGTTTTTACTATCAAGGATAGTATTTTTTAATGGACTATTTGGTACTTTTTTAAACCTGCCAGAATCCTTTTTTTTTTTTTTTAAATAGCATCTTATGCTTTGCTTTGATATCTTTTGGTAAGCTTTTTACCCCATACTTATTTATATCCTGTTTCTAAATTCCATCTTCAAGTCCTCAGGTATCCAGTTCCGTTGTTTGTTTTTGCTGACTCATCATTTTAACCCCAGTTATGGCTGGGAGAAATCATCCCAGACCCTATGACCCATGAGGCTTGGCCTTCTTGAAGTGATGCTATAATGCAACCCATTTCATGGAATGCAGGCTCTTGTCATTTTTAGTTTCAGGCTTCCAAATTAACCATATAAGATTATTATTTGGTCACTATTCTTAATTCTTTTAAAGTTGTAATAGCTCATAGCAGATAACAAGGTTTTTGAAACAGTGGGACATAAGTTCTCAGATTTTTAATTTGATTCTAAACAATTAAATGGAATTCATTTATCCAGTCAGTATTTATAGAATTTCCACTATATGCCAAGCATTGATCTGGGCACGGAGTCAGATGGGCAAGACAATTATCCTGCCCTCACAGCACTTAGATTCATTCTTGTAGGAACAGAGGCACAAACAAACAAACAAACAAACAAACAAACAAACGTGTAGGTAGTGATTAGTGTTACGAAGAGAATAAAGCAGTGTGCTAGGGTGGAAGCTGTTGGGCTACTGGGTGACAGCACTGTCCCCCATCCCTATCTCATTCCCACTTCATCTTGCCTCGCTTCATTTCACTCTGCAGGCTGAACTTTCTCCACCTCTGTCCCATATCTGGTGAAGATGGTTACTCCACAGCTCCCCAGTTCATATCTTCCTGGTTTAAGAAGCTGAAAAAGAAAACAAATACATATTCATGGAAGGAGAATTTGGCCCATGTTAAGTGTGACCCCTAGTCCAATCAATTCTAGGCAAGACAGAAACATTTAGAAAAGGACAAATAAAGTTTACTTACAAAGAGTACAAGAGAACAGATTTCCCAAATTAAAACAAAAACCAAAAAAACCCACAGAAGTTCTTTTAAAATAGAACCTCAAATCACCAAGATTATGACAGTTACCAATGTCTGCTATGGTGGGAAGACAGTAACTTCCCCACATGACTGTCAGTTTCACAAAGGCCATGGTGCGCCTGTGAATGCCAGCATAGCAGAACTTAGAGATGAAATGGTTTTGGTTAGCACGTCCAGGTTTGCAGGAAATTCTCGGCTTTATTATTTTGGAGTTAAGAACCAGTTAGGATGACGGCAATCTCTTTTCATCTCAGGGTGCAAAGTGCTCTGTCCTACTGGAAGCAGGGCAGAGGGCCAGCTTTTGCTTCTGTAATTCACAAGCTCCAAAAATAGCAGCCGGGACCCATTCACACCTCAAGGAGGCATTGAAGAGGGTCACTCTGAACTGGATACACTTTTAAAAGTGTTCACTGATGCCGAGTAATCTGATTAATCCTAATTACATAGCCATAGAAGTCTACACTGCAGATTCCTGTCTTCACACTTGACTAGTACATTATATAAAGCACCTTCATGCCTATTATTTAGTCAATCCTCAAAGCCCTGTGAGAAAAGAATACTAGTGAAACTTACTAAGCACTTATGTGTGCCATCCAGTTACCGGTCATTTCCCAAGAGCCAGGCACTGTTCTAACACATTTACATATATATATGTGTGTGTGTGTATATATATATATATATATATATATATATATATATATATATATATGTATTTATATATTTACATTTACATATATTAACCATTTAACTCCCACAACATTCCTATGAACACAAGGTGTGATTATTATTCTGATTTTACAGGTAATGCAATTGGAGCACACGGGTTAAGTAACTTGCCTCAACTCACACAACTTGAAAGTGGTATAGTTGGAATCAGATTCCAAGTAGTCCAGGTCCGGAGACATGCCCTACACTGCCTCTCTAGAAATGAGTGCTACTTCAATTTTACAGATGAAAAAATAACCAATACTCAGAAATTAAGTGACTTGCTCAAGGTCATTAACAGAATGATAAGCTGGAATTTTATTTTTAAAAATATATTTTATTGCTTTTTTACAGAGAGGAAGGGAGAGGGATAGAGAGTTAGAAACATCAATGAGAGAGAAACATCGATCGGCTGCCTCCTGCACACCCCCTACTGGGGATGTGCCCACAACCCAGGTACATGCCCTTGACTGGAATCAAACCTGGGACCCTTCAGTCCACAGGCTGATGCTCTATCCACTGAGCCAAACCGATTAGTGGGATAAGCTGGAATTTTAAATCAACTTTTGACTTCAAGCCAGGCTTCTTCAGTAATAACAATAACAGCAGCCGTAGCAGTAGTTAATTATATAGGGTTTACTATATGCCATGCACTGCTCTAAACACTTTACATACATGAACTAACTTAATCCACAGCTCTGTGGCATAGATACTGTTATTATTCCTATTTTACAGAGGAGGATATTGAGGCACAGAAGTTAAATAAACTTGCCCAGAGTCACACAGCTGGAAAATGGCAGAGTCCGGATTCAAACTCAGGCAGTCATCTCCAGAATCTAGACGGCTAACTATGGCTTCGCACTGCCTTGGCATGCTCTACCACTGTCTTCCTCAGCAGGATCAGGAGGGAAGGACACTAGCAGTTACTGGTTATACTTTTATGTACTGTGATAGATTGTATGGTTGCTAAAATATTTATTTGGCCTGTCCCTATGGAAGCACTGTACTTTGCATTAGCTTGGCCATGACTTGCTTTGGCTGTTGAAATGTGAATGCAAGTGATGGCATTTCTGAGCAGTTCTGAGAGCCCCTGAGAGGTTCCGCCATCTCTCTATTCCCTTTGCCATGAGACCTGCCTGTCCCAGACGGAAGCCACTTCTTCAGTATTGCTCTTGGAATAAAGATTTGGAGCAGAGCACAGCTGACATGCTGAGGATGTGAACATGAACAAGTACCCTTGGATGTTGTAAGCCGTTGACCTCTGGGAGTCATTTGTTTCCATAGCATAACTCAGCCTAAGCAGATTTATACATGTACATTAAAATTTATTTAATCCTCTCAAGACCCTTCTAGGTAGGTATAATGAGTTCCAGGAAGAAACTAAGACTCACAGTTTCACTAAGTTGCTCAGTGGTATGGACTGAATATTCGTGTTACCCAAAATGTATATGCTAAAGCCCTAACCCACAATGTAATGGGGGCGGTTGGGAAATAATTAGGGTTAGATACAGTCATGTGAGTGGGGCCTCATGATCGGCTTAGTGCTCTTATGAAAGATACCAGAGAACTTCTCCCTCTCTCTTTTCCCCTACCCCCCAAGTGCAGAAGAGGTCATTATGGTCACATGATTATATTTTCTTTCTAAAAATACCCTTTAATGGCACAGAGTGAAATAAATCATAGAACCCTCTCCTCTTTCTGATAGATGAGGAAGTAAGAGTTAAGGGATGGGATTGGACAGTTCAGCATTGGCTGTTGCATAGATTCACTCACTGAACCCCCACTAGTGTCAAGTCTGGGCGCAGCACTTCATTGTAGTCCCCGTGGGAGGATTCAATAGGAGGTGCTCAGGGGACACCACGTAGGGCCTAGGACATGGTGAGGACCAGGGTTGTCTGACATGCTCCATGCCACTGTCTTCACCTCTCTTGGAGTCATCAACCCCCTTTGAGAATCCATGTGGATCTTCCACCCCCACATGAACATTTAGCATAAAATTTCAATCTTAGAGGAACTGACAGGTGGAAAATCTGCATGAGATAGTCCTCATTCAGACCTATGAGGAGGAGGGAGGATGGAAGGGAGGGAGAACAAGAGAGGCAGCAGTGGGGAGTGGGACATCTGTTGATTTCTCTTTCTTATGATGCTGGGACATCAGGGCAATGCCAATATATTAAATAGTGATACTTTTCCCCACTCCTGTGCACATACAAAATTAATAAAATTGTTTTCCTTTCTTCCTGTTAATCTGTCTTTTGTCCAGTTAAATACACAAACCAGGTTCACTAAACTTAAAGAGGGAGAAGTAGAGTTTTCCTTCACACATTAAGGGTAGGTACCTTAGTGGATTTGTAAAGGTAACGTAAGGCTTTACTATCCTGACTTGATGGCTGATGCACAGCCGTCACTAATATCCATTCTTTTTCCATAGCTGACATCACTAGCTGAGCAGGATACCTTTTCCCACTGAGCAAAATGTGGTCTCGCGATCTCAACCCAGTGTACCAAGTTGTCACACAAGGTGAAACCTACCAGCCAATTCTGGCTGAGGCAAGTCATCAAGAAGACCTTGAATAAATGAAGATCTACCCGCCCCCCTCCCCCCCCCAAAAAAAACCCAAAACAAAAACCTGAACAAAAATTTCACGTGGTTATAAGAAATCATCTAATCTACTACTGGAGGAAGTAATCAGCTGCTTAAAGTCAAAGTTATGGCTGCAGGGACTTCAAAACCAAAAGCTACTGCTGCACTAATTGCAAAAAAACTCATCTAATACCGAAGGATTTGGAAAAGATCCCAATGGTTATTATATCTCCATTAAGGGCAATTGAATGAGCAGGCTCAGCTTCTGTGCTTGTGCCCAACAGGAAACATTTCGATTTCAAGCCTTTAAAAAAAATTACCATGCCGAAACCGGTTTGGCTCAGTGGATAGAGCGTCGGCCTGTGGACTAAAAGGTCCCAGGTTCGATTCCGGTCAAGGGCATGTACCTGGGTTGCGGGCACATCCCCACTGGAAGATGTGCAGGAGGCGGCTGATTGATGTTTCTCTCTCATCGATGTTTCTGACTCTCTATCTCTCTCCCTTCCTCTCTGTGAAAAATCAATAAAATATATTTTTTAAAAAAATTACCATCATTTAGTTATAGTCAATAGGTAATTTGTGAGGCTAATGCAGTAATAATATACTTCAGGCTAGAAAGGGGTGGGCAAAAATAGGTTTATAGTTGTGAGTACATGAAATAGTTTATTCTTGTATTATTATTGTTATATTATTTGTTGTTTTTTTATTTTATTATTTTTTTAATTAAATCTTTATTGTTCATATTATTACATTTGTTCCTCTTTTTTCCCCCCCATAACTCCCCTCCTCCCAGTTCCCGCCCCACCCTCTGCCCTCACTCCCCACCCACTGTCCTCATCCATAGGTGCACGATTTTTGTCCAGTCTCTTCCCGCATCTCCCACACCCCTTTCCCCCCCAAGAATAGTCAGTCCCTGATTCTATTATAATCACCAGTTCATTCTGTTCATCAGATTATTTATTCACTTGATTCTTAGATTCACTTGTTGATAGATGCATATTTGTTGTTCATAATTTGTATCTTTACCTTTTTCTTCTTCTTCCTCTTCTTAAAGGATACCTTTCAGCATTTCATATAATCCTGGTTTGGTGGTGATGAATTCCTTTAGCTTTTCCTTATCTGTGAAGCTCTTTATCTGACCTTCAATTCTGAATGATAGCTTTGCTGGATAAAGTAATCTTGATTGTAGATTCTTGGTATTCATCACTTTGAATATTTCTTGCCACTCCCTTCTGGCCTGCAAAGTTTCTGTTGAGAAATCAGCTGACAGTCGTATGGGTATTCCCTTGTAGGTAACTGAGTTTCTTTCTCTTGCTGCTTTTAAGACTCTCTTTATCTTTTGCTCTTGGCATTTTAATTATGATGTGTCTTGGTGTGGTCCTCTTTGGATTCCTTTTGTTTGGGGTTCTCCGCGCTTCTTGGACCTGTAAGTCCATTTCTTTCACCAGGTGGGGGAAGTTTTCTGTCATTATTTCTTCAAATAGGTTTTCAATATCTTGCTCTCTCTCATCTTCTGGCACCCCTATAATTCGGATGTTGGTACGCTTGAAGCTGTCCCAGAGGCTCCTTACACTATCCTCGCATTTTTGGATTCTTCTTTCATTTTGCTTTTCCGGTTGGGTGTTTTTTGCTTCCTCGCATTTCAAATCATTGACTTGATTCTTGCGCTCCTCTGGTCTGCTGTCAGGAGTCTGTATAATATTCGTTATTTCAGTCCGTGTATGCTTAATTTCTAGTTGGTTCCCCAATATAACATCGAGGGTCTCATTAGTTTTCTTGTAGATCTCATTAAGTTTATCGGCGGCTTCTAAACAGTTCTTGAGAGACCTTAAAAGTGTGGTTCTGAACTCTATATCTTCCATTGACAATTTTGTCCTGTTTCTTTGTCTCCACATTTTGTTATGCTTCCTTGGTGCACCCCCTAGTGGTCTTTGTGCGCAGTCTTATAGTTAAACCTTGATTGTTGTAGCTAATACCAGGGAGGGTTTGACCTCCAGGCCAAGTGGCTATGAGAATCAGCTGTGTCAGCAGTGAGAGAACTTCTGTCCTCTAGGGAGGTGCTAATCTAGCCTTTGCCTGAGGCTATCCGGCAAATGCCTCTGTGCAGGGCTTGGGCGGGGCGGGTTGCACAGGATCAACAGGGTGGGCCAGAGAGAGTGGTTATGGCGGCTCTCAGTCCTGTCCCCAGGGGCTCTGCCTCTCTGAGTCCCAGCACCCGCTGCAAACCTCGGAGAGAAAGCTGCACTCGCTCTGACCGAAGCCAGACAGTCCCGCTTCTCCCGTTTGAGTCTGGGTCCCTAAAGACTCGCCTGTATCTGGAGCTCAGAGTCTGCAACTCCCTCCCAATTGAAAACGCCAACCGCGCCCTCTGCCACCAGCCCGCTCCGCGCACTCCGCACCTCAGAGTTTGACTTCAGCACTGCGCCTCCTCTGAGTGTCCATATGCGTTTCTCTTTCCTCCTAGTTGTAGGACTTCCACTCAGCCAGCGTTCCTGTGGTTCTGGGTGATGTCTGTTCCGTTTTTTAGTTTCACTTTTGAAGTAGTTGTTCAAGGCAGCAAACTTCGGCGTTAACTTATGCCGCCATCTTGGTTCTCTCTCTGGATTTCTATTTGTATTACAACTGTAAACCTGCTATTGCCCACCCTTCTATTTCAGCAGTTTGCCTTTTCACTTAAAAAACATGAGCACCTTTTCATGACAGAGGATACTTATCTGCTTTTTTTCTTTCTTTCTTCCTCAACGGAGGATATGTTTTTATTGATTTTAGAGAGAGAGGGAGGACTATAGAGAGTGAGAGAGAGAAACATAGATGTGAGAGAAATATCAATCAATTGCCTCCCTTAGACAATGCGGATTAAACTTGCAGCCTAGGTATGTGCCCAGACTGGAACTGAACCCACAACCTTGTGGTGTACTCAATGACCAACTGAACCACCCGGCAAGGGCACTGATGTGCTTAAAAAAAAGAAAAAGAAAAAGATATTTAACCATTCTACAATTTTTTAACTTTTCAAAAGTTGTTTCTAATATTTCATGATCACAGACTATGTTAATGAACATTTTTATATACATTTTTGTGTGGGTATATAGTTTTATCAGATACTTCTAAGTGGGATTGCTGGACCAAAGAGTTTACATATTACAAATTTAGTAAAGTAAAAATTATAATTTTCTAAGTCTCAGTTAAAAGTTAATCTAGTTTAATTCCAAAAATGTGAGATAATCCACATTCCCACCAGTAGTGAATGGAGAGGGCCTTTTCCCTCATACTCTCAATAATAGAGCATTGTATCAGTCTTAACTTTTAGTTAATTTGGAGAAAAAATGTTAGCAGTCAACCACTCACAAGCATTAAGACAATGTGAAAATATTAATATTGGACAAAAGAGAAATCAAGGCAAAAAGGCTTCCTAAGGGTTTCATTTTATTTTGATAAGTCACCCTCTACCAAGAAAATAAAACAACCATAAACCTTCATGTATTATAATGATCTAGTAATTGCCAATAGCGATTTTATATGGTTTAATCTAATTATTTAATTACATAGCATCAAAACATATAATGCAAAGATTCAGAACTCCAAGGATAAATTGTTAAATCTGTATGTATAGAAATCTCTAAAAAACAGTGGTTCTCAACCTTCTGGCCCTTTAAAGACAGTTCCTCATGTTGTGACCCAACCATAAAATTATTTTCGTTGCTACTTCATAACTGTAATGTTGTTAGTGTTATGAATCGTCATGTAAATATCTGATATGCAGGATGGTCTTAAGCGACCCCTGTGAAAGGGTCGTTCGACTGCCAAAGGGGTCACGACCCACAGGTTGAGAACCGCTGCTCTAAAACATGTTTTTCAAAGATGGGCAGATCAGGAAGAATATGGATAAAGAGGATTAGAGTAACGTGATTAACAAGCTTGACCTACTAACTATATGTTAGTAAGCAGAGTATAGGTTTCTTTGCAAATTCCCAAGGAATATTTAGTACCTACCAGGACATATATGGGCATCTTAAGATTTATTTTAAAACTATGCTGTCTGGGAATAGTGATTTACAGTGGTTTTGGTCATATCTTAGGGAAAAAGCATCCATGACAGGAGTAAATGAGGAAGGGCAGGGTGTTTTAATCAAGTTTTGCAAACAGAAACAAGCCAGCTACAAGGAAGAATGCCTTTGTCTCCTGCTTGGCTTCAGCATGGACCCCTCCAGGTTCGGTGTCCCGAGCCCCCAGTCCCCTCTGCCTGGTCAGCACTCTTCTATTTCTGGGTTAAGGAGCTCAGACAGGGCTTGGGAAACAGCCTCCTAATCCAGGAGAGCAAGAAGGTTTAACAGTCTGGACGGGTGGGAGTGAGCGGTGGAGAAACTGTCTTCAGAAGTTAGCCTGCGTATGAGGGAGGTACTGACTATGCAGTCTCCCCTTTCAAATCCTCCTGCAGGCCTGATCTGACTGAGGTCCCGGGGTGTATACTGCCACGAGGCGGGGAGCCCTGATGCGTGGCCAGGGCAGTGGACGTCCTCATTGCCTTTTGGGGAGGAGGTGTGTCAGACAAGGCCTGTACTTTATTTATTGGATTCTAGATCTGGAAGATCAACCCAGGGATCCCTCAGCCAACTGTGAAGTCAGGATGTGGAGCACACCTGTGTGTTAACGTGGCTCCTGCCTTGCGCCTCATAGTGAAAATACCGAAGAAGGTAAGAGCTTTCTTTCTGGCCTGAAGTACAGAAATGGATGAGACCATGAGGACAACAAACGTATTTTCACACAGGAAATAAGCAAATAGGTTTGGTTTGGGGACAGAGGACAGAGAAAACCCCTTTGTTTATCTCATTGACTCACCCCGAGAGGGTCTTTGCTCTGCGTGTTCAAGGTCGTTAAGCCCTGGGTGAATCTTCCTTCTATTTTGGGGGTTCACTTAGTGGGCAGATAAACAATTACCTACACTTTTTAATGATAATGTCAGATATGAATGGTGCTAGATCACTGCTCTAGTTCTCAACCTGTGGGTCGCGACCCCTTTGGCG